CGGCAGCAGCGTGATTTGATGAGACGTCGTCTGCTAGCACACTTCCGGCTGTCAATAGAAATAACAAGACACAATTTGGCAACACTTGGTAAGTATCCATGTTAATCTTAACTACCTAAATGTCATCTTTCATTTGCACTGAAAGGAAGGTATACCTTACTTCTTTTGCAATAGTTTTGTCAACTGTTCCAATCACTAATTTGAAGTAGATGCACCAATTTAATTTCCGTTGAGGGGCAGTTATCCTGTGATAGACAACTGATGGTAACGTATCTGGTTTCACTGGTAACGTATCTGGAATCATTGGTAACGTATTTGGTTTAAGACAGTTACCAATTGATTTTTGGATTTTAACAGATTTTAAGATGATTTTATGTAATTGTGTTATGTTATATAATGTCAATGCTTCATTTCAGGCCAATCATGAGCAAGTCACGTGCAGAGATCCAAAAAGCTTACCGGGATCGCAAGAAGCAAAATGACATGACTTATATGGAAAAGGAAAGGCTCCGACAAACCAAATATCGGGTTCCTGTTGGCATGCTGTCAAAGGCGAAGTTAAAAGCTTGTTGTCTCATAGATAAAGAGTACTCCACGAGGTACAGGTTGAAAAAGCAGAAGCGCAAGCAGGCAGTTGCAAATGCAGTCAATGTTGTGGAACCAACTTCATCACATGGGTCACTTCAATCCAGCGATATTGACCAATCAGCTGAAGTCACCAGTACATCTGAGTCTGTAACTTCATCCACTCTGAAATCTCCACAGACAAGATCACGGGGGACAAACCGTTTGCTTGTGCAACTTCCATTCCCTGTGAGATCTCCGACTTGTATGCGACGATCCAAGGCACTGGCACGGGCAAGAAATGAAATTTGTAAATTGAAGTCTCAACTTGAAACCCATCAGAAAAGTTCAAGGCGTTTCCAAAAACGATATGAACGACTGTTAAAGCGCAAAAACAAAATGGTACCTGGATGTACTTCGGACAACAAAGAGGTTCTTACTCCCAAGTCCAAGACATTACATGACATTAAAAAGTCTGGGATTAGCCCCCGGTCATTGCCAAAATCAGTGGTCCGTCAGCTGCAGATTGGAAACTCATTGGTGTCAGAAATTAGAGCTGCCCACACGGAAAACACTTCACAGAAGCAAAGATCATTCGTCAACACAGTTGTTAGTGGCCGTATTGTGAAGAAATATAGATGTATTAGATACCTAACAAAAGCTACAGGCATAACACGCCATGAATTCAGTGTAACAGGAGGCAAGAAATTGCTCATTACATCTAAGCGTCAACGGTTGACACACTTGAAGATGGAACTACAAAATCAAATCACTTCTTTTTTGGAGAAGGATGAGATCAGTAGGTGTATGCCTGGGAAAAGGGATGTCACAAAATCAAATGGCGAGAAGAAACAAACAAGAATCTTGAACGATTATCTTGGTAACACACATGAACGGTTCCTGGCAGACTATCCTGATGTAAAGATATCCTATTCGGCTTTCTGTAAGATGCGGCCAAAGCACATCCAAGTCACATCTCTGTTATCAAGGAACAAATGCCTGTGCACGAAGCACCAGAATATGGCTTTAAAGCTCAAATGCCTCTCATCACTAGGTATCAAAACCTCGCCTAATCCAGAAGTTGTTGGTAGGTCGGTGTCTCTTGATGACATGAAGGACATGTTGACAGGTGTTCAAGATGATGTGCCAGTTGAATATGAGGAATGGAGAAGTGTTGAGGTTGGAGGCAAGAAAAAAATGAGAATAGTAAAGGTTTCTCAAAGCAAAGATCAATTTATTCAAATGATGTTACAGCAGTATCAGATGTTCTTGGAACATATTGCCCGTGTGGCTGATCAGTATAAATCTCTGCATGAACTGAAATTGAATTTACCGGAAGATCACATTATCATCCAAATGGACTTTGCAGAAAATTTCCTATGTCAAACTAATGATGAGATCCAATCAGCATACTGGAATGCAACAGCAGCAACAATCCATCCAGTAGTGATTTACCACAAATCAATGCAAGGAGCATGTGCGCACACCAATCTTGCATTTGTGTCGGATGTGAATCATCATAATCCATCGGCTGTACTCGCTATATTGAAAAAGCTAGTCCCACATGTTCACAGCAAATTCAGCAAAGCCAAAATGATCCACTACTGGACAGATAGTCCCTCTTCCCAGTACAGGAACCGGTTTATATTCACCATCATTTCACAGCATTTTGAACTTTTTGGTATAGAAGCTAGGTGGAATTATTTCGAGGCAGGCCATGGCAAGGGGCCATGTGATGGCATTGGCGGCACGTGTAAACGTATGGCAGCCCAAGCAATAAAGCAAGGAAAAACAACAATACAAGATGGTCGAGACTTCTACAAGTGGGCAAGACAAAATGAGAAATCAATAGAGTACCAATTCTACACTCAAGAGGACTATGATGAAGCGACGTTGTATCTTTCTAAGATGACAACTAAGCCTCTCAAAGGAACCATGAAGCTCCATGCTGTAAAGACCACTGGAGATGGTAAAATCAGCATCCGGGATACGTCTTGTTATTGTTTGGGATGTTTGCACTGGTCTACACCATGTCAAGGATGGACTGAACGTTCCCTGGTTGAACCAGTGAAAACCATCAACGATGTTGAAAGTGATCATGAGATTATTCAACCAAGTTCAACTGATGATGCTCCTGAATCAGATAATGTTGTACCCAACAATCTGGAGATTGTCCCACCATTCATTCCTACAGTTGGAGAGTTTGTTGCAGCTACCTACGACAACCACTGGTATGTAGGTAGATTTCTTGAGGTAGATGCGACCAACTCGGATGCTTTAATAACATTTATGTCCAAGCATGACGCCAGTGGCAAAACCCATTTGCAGTGGCCCTCAAAATCAGATGAAATCTGGATCCCATTTAGTAAAATAATCATGTCTGTATCCGAGCCACTGCCTGTTGGAAGGTCAAAAAGGTACAACACATTGTCAACTGAAGATTTCGAATCCATCCTTCAGTTTGTAAATACGAAGTGAACAAATGGATTTCGCAGCCAGATACGTTACCATGTGGTGTAGGACTCTTATTTTGTTAAATGCGGCACAGAATGTTTTCAACTTTTTTCTTAATACAAAGTGCCTAAAAAATGATTCATTTGTGTTTACTTGTTCCAGTTGCCATGTTACATACGTTAGGAATGGTAGATGTTAGGCCAGATACGTTGCAATAATTGACTTTGCCTAATGTTCGTTTGAAACTACTGTCTTGAATACCAAGACGTGAGTATTTTATACTAATGTGATTATAAAAGAAATACTTATCAGTTGAATTTTACTGTTATGGTTCAATATGTTCACTGTTATGTCTTACCAGTTAAAGCATTGATAATGACCAGATACATTACCGTTATTAAAACCATATTTGGGTCACTATTATTTCCAAAATTTGCTGATGACTTCATGTTTCATCATCGACATGATATTGAACTTTAATTTAATGGTAAAAACCATCACACTCTCAAGCAGTTAAGTGTGTCGCATTCATAGAGGAGTAGAACTTCACAATATCTGTAAAGTCACTTTTTTTCATTGAGAAAACAACAACCAATTCCTTGTAATTGCAAGCAAGGTAGCGGTCACTGTGGTTGTTCTTTCATACTGCAGTTTACAATTTTTCTGAAAATGAACATAATGAATGAATAGATGTACTAATTAGTCAATCAATACAATGTTCTATAAATACATAATGTAACGTATCTGGTTTTACCCTAAATGGAAGGGTCGACTTTGTTACATTGTATCTTTGGACATATCACACCTAGCATGCATTAAATTTAGCTCTGTAACCATTGAACCTTATTGATTAATTATGTTGAATAAAAATGAAGACATTCATAAGTTTCATCGTGGTCAATTACTCATGCATAATGTGCAACTTTAGGGGAGAATGAACCTAAAATCAGATCTTAGTTCTCGCTACCGCTAAACAAAGATCTGAGGACATCCCGTTACGGGTCACGTCAGAACGACCTTTCTCGAATTTTGACCGACCAGTGAAATGACTGACACTGTGGTTGTTCTTTCATACTGCAGTTTACAATTTTTCTGAAAATGAACATAACGAATGAATGGATGTACTAATTAGTCAATCAATACAATGTTCTATAAATACATAATGTAACGTATCTGGTTTTACCCTAAATGGAAGGGTCGACTTTGTTACATTGTATCTTTGGACATATCACACCTAGCATGCATTAAATTTAGCTCTGTAACCATTGCACCTTATTGATTAATTATGTTGAATAAAAATGAAGACATTCATAAGTTTCATCGTGGTCAATTACTCATGCATAATGTGCAACTTTAGGGGAGAATGAACCTAAAATCAGATCTTAGTTCTCGCTACCGCTAAACAAAGATCTGAGGACATCCCGTTACGGGTCACGTCAGAACGACCTTTCTCGAATTTTGACCGACCAGTGAAATGACTGACAAGAAATCGACATTAGCCAATCAGAAGGCAGCTTTCTCGAGCTTTACGACACTAGTTTCAAACTGGCGACTACGCTTCGAAACATATTTTGACGTATTCTTGATTAAAAAAATTAAAACTGATAAGAAGAACACTCTGGAATGGCTTATAGATGGCCTAGATTGTATGGATATAATCATAAAACCCGTAATTGTCGTTCGGAATACCCCGTGTCAAATATTTCGTGGTTGCATGATTAGAAAACACGTTCCGACTGTCACTTTCATGATCTGGTAAGCGACGCTCTAATTGGTCGGATGAAAGGTCGTTCTGACGCGACCCCTAATGGGATGTCCTCAGATCTTTGTTTGGCGGTAGCGAGAGTAGTAGATATTTAAGATGTATCCATCCACACATCTAAATTTGATGACGTCACAAGTGCACCTAGTAACCTCACGTGACTGATGACGTCACATAACCTTGACCTTGGGGTGGGGTGGGGTGGGGTGGGGTGGGGTGGGGTGGGGGGTTGGTGTTGTTGTCATGCGATCAATGACCTCGTATAACCTTGACCAATAACCTCGTATAACAGTTGTATCAACAAAGCGTTTCCGGACAGCTGAAAGGAAAAACACTTGTGTAAACACGAGATTGTTTTGAAAGGAAATACTTAAATCAACGAGGGCGTATTTGAAACGTGTGGTGGGGGAGGGATGTTGTCAACATCAATGCCTCATTAATATGCAAGATAACTCATTAATATGTAAATGTATAAGTGATGTATCAGGTTAATTGCATGAATACAGGGTCAACTGACCAGATGTAACCATGCAACTAATTACTCGAGCATTCCTTAACAAAGAACAATGGATAGTAATGAATATCCTTATATGGAAACTAAGGTCACCAATCCCTCATTAATATGCAAGATAACTGATTAATATGTTAATGTATAAGTGATGTATCAGGTTAATTGGATGAATACAGGGTCAACTGACCAGATGTAACCATGCAACTAATTACTCGAGCATTCCTTAACAAAGAACAATGGATAGTAATGAATATCCTTATATGGAAACTAAGGTCACCAATCCCTCATTAATAGGCAAGATAACTCATTAATATGTAAATGTATAAGTGATGTATCAGGTTAATTGGATGAATACAGGGTCAACTGACTAGATGTTACCATGCAACTAATTACTCGAGCATTCCTTAACAAAGAACAATGGATAGTAATGAATATCCTTATAAGAAAACTTGACATCGCGCGAGAAATGGAATGCTATTGCGACAGCATTTTGGCGACAGCATTTTGGCGCCTTTTTTTTAACCTTTTCTCCATGCGCATTCGGGGCTGCATCTGCTGAGATTATCAGCCCGGGAATAAGTGTATGATCTATGTCAATATGTGTTATAAAACTCAACGGTAGTGTTGAGTGACTGACATTTTCACTCTCACTTTGCTGACAGATAAGACGTCCGTTTTCAACATGAAGAGAGTTTCAGAGGATATAATTGGACCTACGGTCGCTTTCACAAAGCGTGGCAAGACCAAGTCGAGAAAAACATGTCGGAGAAAATCAATGGCATCAAAGGGGTCACCGAAGAGACTGGTTGCATCTAAGAAGAAAAAGATGACAACCAAGAAGGGGAAAATGACTATACTGAAAATACAACTCGTGTCGAATGTAAAGGCTGTTGTGAAACGAATCCGACCTGCCTTGAAGCATCGCATGGGTGAAGGGTATAAAGAATGGTTCAGACCCTCTCATCGGGCACTTGTATTTGATCACTATGGAGGTTACCACCTGTCCACACTGTGGCAAGAGTTTTACGCGAAAAGATAATCTAAAGAGACATCAGAAGCAGGTGCATAGTTCAACTCAAGACTCGCCTTCTCTTCTCCCTCCTCTGGATAAACACCTTACTCTTCCTCCTCCTCCTCCTCCTCCGGATAAACACCCTCCTCATCATCATCAGGAAATATCTCCTCGTTTGCTTTCATCTCGGGAGCACCAGCGTCACGGACGATACAAAGTTCCTTATACCCTCCAATAGCATCGTTGTTGGACCCAGTGGATGCAGAAAGTCGGTGTTTGTCTTCAACCTATTACGTCATGGATTCGTTCAACCCCTGCCCGACTGTATTGTCTGGTGTTATACTGTGTGGCAACCTCTTCAAGTACGGTTTGTTAAAGGAATACCTTACGATCTCAAAGATGAAAACTTCTTCGATGCCCGTAACCAGAACATGATGGTGTTGAATGACTTTTTGTCTGAAGCAAAGAATGACAATCGGATTTCCCGTCTGTTTACCCAAACCTCCCACCACAAAAATGTCATTATCTTTTTGCTATTGCAAAACCTCTTCCCGAGAGGTAAGGAATCTAGGGACATTGCTCTAAATTCTCATTATGTCACACTTTTCAATTCGCCAGTGGACAGACAGCAGGTGAAGTTATTCGCCAGAAGAATATTTCCTGAAGACATTGGTAAATTTATGACTCTTTATGAAAGGGCTGTTGAAACCCCTTACGGACACCTCACAGTGGATCTCAAACCCGGTACAAGTTAGAAGAATAGATTACATGTCAACGTCTTGACAACCAATGAAAATCAACCTGATCACAGTGCTTCCCAACAACAACAACAACAACAAGGGGTAAAAGATGTCTCTCTAGCATTAGACGTTCAGACAGGCCCTGACATTCGTGCTGATCACACTTCGACTTCCAAAGAAAGGTCTCTTAGCTTTGACGACGATGACGTTGAAACAGCATCCATCTCGAGTGACAACACAGGACCTTTTACCATGGCCACTGCGTGTACTGACTGCGGCGTATTGATAGACAATATGCACGATCTACAGCGACATATCAGATCGTGGTGTCCAGCAAACGACGACTTGAAATGCAAAAGAAAACGTCTCAGATACGAGAGTGACGACAACAGTGACGACAATTAGGAACGACTTCCTGAACAGAAAGGCGAAGGTCTCGCTGTCAAACGTCGTCGCAGGAAGCCGCCAAACACCGACGTGGATGCGGAGGAGCGGCAAAATGTTGGTTTACAACGCATCTGGAATCGCGTGAACAACATCAAGCACGACGGGATGAAACTCAAGAGGAAAAAGTACAGACAACAGGGTCGAACAGAAGAATGGATTGACAGAAAAATGAAACAGATGTGGGAAAGTGAATTGAACGACAGCCTCAATAGTGTCATAGAGTTCGCCCAATATTTTAGACAGGCGCCTCTATTTCAACCCATCCTAGACAGCCTGAGCGATATGGATCCTGGAACTGATCAATCTATTATCAAAAACAAGATCGCTCGTTTCACGAAAACTGTGATGAAAGACATTCTGACTCGTGTAGACATACCCGAAGCAGAAAGTGACACTGAATCTATCTCAGCTGCCGATGATGGTGATGACGAGCAGAGCGAGCAAGAATAAAAAACCTTGTTCTCATGTTACAACCCTTCAGTCGAGATTTTGTGTTACACGCAACAATGACACGGAAGAATCGGTCACCAAGTCGAGGCAAAGGAAGAAGTTTTGGACTTATCCATGTATTGAAAACACGACCTGTCATTACGTCAAAACAGATTTCTCTAAATGACAGCTTCCTGGCGTCAAAGAAACGCCTGGTCGTATACATCAGGAGACCGGTCAAGTTTGGACCTCCATCTATAAATGTCACAAAGTTGGTCGTCTCCATCAGGTGCATCCGAGTGGTGTATTTCATGTTGAGAATAAACGCTTTAAACTTTTCTAAAATCATTCAACCGTCAAGGTTATTAATTATTTTGAAAATCGTTGAAATCACTCGAACTCTACACTTGTAAAGACATACACCCTGTGCTGTTAATAAAAGCCTTATTATAGTTTATATTTTGTTGTTGTTTTAATTCATATTTCTATGATGTCATACATATGGTCAATATGCCTCTGGAAAGCAATTATCTCTGCAAGCCGATCACATGACAGTTTGCTTGTGTTTTTTTAGTGTCATACATTTACTAACACGAACTTGTCTGTCGTAAAACCGCACTGTTAACACTTCAATTCAACGAGAAACGTGAACCTACAGTGAGTGAGTGAGTGAGTGAGTGAGTGAGTATGGCTTTAAGCCGCTTTTAGCAATATTCCAGCAATATCACGGCGGGGGACACCACAAATGGGCTTCACACATTGTACCCATGTCGGGAATCGAACCTGGGTCTTCGGCGTGACGAGCGAACGCTTTAACCACTACGCTACCCGACCGCTACTCCGTACAGATTCACATCATAGATCCTTGGTATTGAATAAGTATCCCACCTCATTCGAGGTGCTCTGACGTCAGAACTTACAAAAAAAGAGCTATTTTCAACAAATTGTCACAGGATAGGTTTTCAATAGCCTTTTTAGGCAGAAATTTGATTGTTAAAACGAACAATTGTCCAGCTTGCCACTCAAGGGGTTAAACTTTTGGAACTATATTTAAATGAGAATCTTGCGTGCCTTGAGACTTTAGAAAATTGGAATCTTTGTAAAACTGTTTTGTGTTAAATATTATTGTTTAATCACGTTTGTATACATGCAACGAATAAATATTCTTGATATGAGTGTATTGTCATTTTTATTTATTTTAACATATACCAAAACCTGATACAAAACAGTCAATAAAGCTTGTGATATTCGCTGCAAGAGGTTGCGAGTTAAAGGTGATGAACACTGTGATGTGACATGGGGAAATAATAGATACCATATACAATAATTGGTATCAATAAACTTAAGAAATTTTGATTTGGTAAAATACAATGTATAACGCTTAAGATTGATTTTTTAAATTTTCCGACTCGCAGACGAACTCGCATTAGTTTTTTCCTTCAAAATCGAAATAGATGTATTTATTAAATCCCAAATAGTATGTACGGATGTTAATCAAGTGCTATTCGATAACTAAACTACGGAAAGATGCATATGAAAATCATGTACACGTTGCTGAGATGATCTCCTGACTTCTGAATACTTTTTGGAAGATATTAGACATAAACACAATTTATGAAAATTATTCTTATAACTGCAAATTAACACGAATATACTCTTATGCTGTAAGTAGGTCAAGGGTCATATGCATTCGGGCAGTGTTTGAAGTAAAATGCTCGAATTTCAACTCGTGAAATAGTCGTTCATTGGTTTCTCCTGTATTTACAAATACTCTGAATGAAGCATAATTGACACATACTTTGGAAGACATCCTCTCTCCGACTTTAATTCTCGTGCATAACACTGTATTCTCCCACCGAATATCATGTTTCCAACTTGATTTTGTTATAACGCACAGAGGCGAGGTTTCCAGCTAACACCCCTGAAATTAATGCTAGGCGTCTTATAGTGAGGGTAATAGCGAGTCGTACACAGGCGTGGGTTACAAGATTACAAGCAGTTTCGCAAATTGCTACTCACTTTTCGTGTAAACTGTATGATGAGATATGATTTTACTTGGTGTGCACAGGAAAAATATACTCCCCCTCCTTTTTTTATGTTTCTGTGACAACTACAGACACCCTCCAATGTAATAAGGACGTATTATTATATATTGGGTCAATGGGTCTGGTTTACAAATGCTAAAATCGAACTTGTTCTTTTTTTAAAAGTGCACAGTTAATAACAAGTTTGGTAATTGTAAGCCGAATTCATTGGCCCACTGACATAGTTTATCATGTTGTCGTAGCATTATGACGGCTTTGTGAAACAGCATCTAATTAAAACGGACACAAACACTATTCAAATTGCTTATTAGAGAGAGACCCGGCGCTTATAAAAGACTCGGCTCTCATTAGACACAGCATCCCGTGTGCGAAATACGCATCAGTCGGAAAGCGCACGTTAAATCTCCAAAGTAAGTAAGTAGACACAGCGGCCGGTAGCCAACCAGCATAGTACATGTACCTCTGCCACAGGCCAGCGCCATGTGACGATTCGTCACATCTTTCACAGTCTATTCAAGATATTGCATATGCTTTTCATCAGTTTCATGTTTGACAAGTCTGCACATTCTCATAAACAATTGTCAAAGCATGGTTACGGTTCATTAAGAAAGTAACCTCATACGTGAAAATCTACTTGTTTTTGCGTAGTTATCCTTTGTTTACATTGGTTGTACGGCTCCACGTGCTCTCATCGAAGCCCAACGGGGAGCTAGCGATACGGACACGGTTGTATCAAAGCCTCATTAACTAATGGCTACATTAAACCCTAATGATACATTAAATGCTTAATGCACCATTAGTTAATGGCATCATTAAAATCGGTTGTATCAAACGTTTATTAGCATATCATTATCTAATGATGCCTTAATGTAAGTGTCTTCATTAACCTGTCATTAAATTCGGTGTTTCCCCTAAATATTTCCCACAATTCCTTGACGTAAACACGTACGCGTTACTTCCGGTCGTCTGTCAAAATGGCATCGTATCCACCTAAATCTAGGAATAGAAACAAGATTTTCGACAGCTCCGAAATTCAGCTTATTGCCGAGTTGGTGGAGAAACACATCTCCATACTTAACAGTAAGTTGTGTAGCACCGTCACCCACGAAAGAAAGAAGGCTATTTGGGCAGAGATAACTTCCAAAGTTAACGCTCTCGGTGTTTGTCAGCGTACAACAAAAGAAATAGAAACAAAATGGACGAACATGCACCAGACGGCCAAAAGGGAATTCAGTAACAGACAGCTGGACATGAGGAAGACCGCGGGAGGGCCCTGTATTGCCACACTTTCCACGACGAGTGAAAAGATAGTGGACATTTACAAGGAATGTCCCAGTTTCACTGGACTCACGGGCATCGAATCGGACGATCTAGTGATGCAAATGGGTATGTCGCCTGCATTCAATAAAATATCGATACACAAACTGTTGTAAGTGTTAAAAAAGTACTTTACATGATACAACGAACAAGTAGCCTAATCAGCTGTTCATACACGTTGAACAAGGCTATGGGGAATCGGGTATTGCACATGATTTGATGATCATTAATCAAAATAAATGAAAAAAGAACATTTAACCAACCTTTTTGACAACACTTTCAATTAAATTGCCGCGTGTGATAAAATACACAGTGCATATTTACATTTGTAATGGTATTTCTCATCCGTTCTCCGACAGGCAGCCATTGTGGAAAGAGAAAGGGGGGGCAACTCTCATTACCCCTATTCCAAACCAAGAAGTTCATGTTGTGTCTTTCGATGTTAAGTTCAAATCTTGACATTCTTCGTCTCTAAATGCAAATTTTATGTGAAGCATTTATACTTTTCATGAGAGAATTTTCTTATGACAACGAAAATTGGTTGAAAAAATATGTCACATTATAGCAGTCATTTTTCTGAAGGTGGCTGCAGACATAAAATAGGCCGTGTCATCACACAAATATATCATACAATTCTAATGTATCATTTCCTTTGGTAATAAAACAAATGATAATAACCCTTGTGCCGTGCCTCTCCCGTTTTAACAGTGTAAAAATATTAATTATATTATTAACTGATGTTCAATAAGTGTGCAAAAAACTTTGTGTGTGCAGGTACGGAAGTCGCCGATGTAATTGGCTCTCCCTCGACTTTACACCTGTTAGCACAGGCTTTAGAAGAAAATGTTTGCGATGTCCCTACTCAGGAAGCGTCTGTGCCCAGTTGTTCCAGCACACAGATCTACCCAGAAGGAGAACTGTCTGTCGACGCATCTGCATTACATGACGACATTAGTACCATCGAAGACTATGTCCTGTTAATTAATACTGGAATCTTACTTCTTGCAGCAATGCTAACAAACATGTAGTACCAAGTCCTTTTCTCTACTCGCCCATCCCTTAGATTGAAACACTCATACTAATTTTGGCCTTTAACACACGCGTATATAGCGTAACATTCACTGTATATACACACGGAGACTCGCATGATCCAAAAACAATGTATTTTTTCAGGCCTTTGGTCCAGACTGGGGGGAAATCAAATCGTGTCACCAAGAGAAAGATCAAACAGGATGACATCACCAGACTGCAGTATGAGGTTTTGCTTGAGCAGAAAAAGAAAGTCATTCAACAAACCATTTACTTTGAACTCATGAACAAGAAGCTCCGATTGGAGTTGGATAGCTTGATGCACCATGAATGAAAACGACATCCTCATCTTTGAAATGTTACTAAGAGTTCATTAAAAAATACAATTAGTTTGATAGTGTGCTATACTGTGTTGTGTTGTATATTGTATAGCTTCAGTTGAACGAACGGGAGATAACTAACACTTCTAATAAATTGTTATCCATCTTCTACTTTATACTACATACAAGTAACCAAACAGTATCACTTCGGTAGATTGCTGGGTGCTCTTTACGTATGTAGCTGTCAATAACGATGAGTTGATGAGATAAGCCGATCAGTTAATACATGATTTCGACGAAATTTATGTAAACCATATTCAATAAAATTAATGTGATAGACTCATTGCTAAAGATACACAAAGAACCTTACATGCTCACCGTGAAGTCTTGGCGTTGTGCAACAAATTCAAACTCATTGTATCCGTGTAGCGTTTAGCTGTATTTTTTCTGAAGGGAAATGTGCACTGTGTACACTGGACAATATTTACGCAGTAATCTAAATTTTAGTTAAACAAAGCTGGGAAACTATATCCCTTTGATTCAACAGGAAAAGACAAAAGTGCACGCAAAAGATTTTGGTTAAATATTTGTAAGATTTATATTTGCACGCATTGGCAAATACATACTGCGAACACTGTCAACTTTTTTCTTCAGTGACAACAGATGGTATCTCTGCATTCTTCTGTATAGTTATGTCATAGTCCTAAAATCATTATAATTAACCCATAATTATAGTGGTCATATTTCAATATGTTTTGTAATTCTCTCAATATTTTATCTTACAGCTAGCTAAACCTAAATATATTTCTGTAGATAATGTTAGTCAGTTGCCATGCACGTAACTAACCGTCACAAACCAGTGACTCTGGATTATGTAACTCAGCCAGGTGGCCAGGCTAGGGTTATGCCCCAGGCTATAACATGCTGTGTTTGGCCGGACGCATCGTCATTTTAGTATCAGATAGGTGGAATATAAAGGATATTACGCGGTCAGTGCGCTCCGTAACTCTCGGATAATTGTAATTAATACGCCACGCATGTAGCAGATTTAGATCATAGTTTCAATATTAGGTAACTAATGCATTCTACAGAAGGCCTGAGTCCCTATTTATACGGAGTCCAGTGGCAGACACTTCACTCTGCCACGAATAAAGACTTCAAGGGACTCAGCAGCCTTCTCTCAGTTTTAAAGGTAAGATAACATTATTTTCTTGTTCAATTCTCCTTGCCTTTAACTTATATTATATCATGTGCAAGCAACTTTATATTTACCATGGTTTGTAATATTTAAGAATAAGTTATATGTCATTCGTTATACCGCAAAGAAACTTGAATGTTAAATTGTATGTGTGTGTTTATATAGATGTCAGTAGATTAGTTCACTTGTACAATAACTGTTGATATGCCAAGTGATAGATAAAGCCGTACATTACATAGCATGAGAAAGAGTACATTGTGGTAAATACCCACGGGTAATCTCACGTAAATACCGTCTCATACGAATATTGGCCATGCTAAGTCTATCATTTGGTTAAGCATTTACGGCATTGAAATTATACAATATGTTAAATACATTTGTATGTAAATACACGAGTAACGCTAGAATTCCGTAAATGTAAATGTTAACAGTTCCTGTATGAAATGTTGTAGCTAGTATAACATGAAATACCTCCCAGTCGCTTATTATTCACAATTCGTTTTTGTACCTTATTTATTAGAACAGTCCTGTTAAGAAAGTTTAAACCAGTCGCTATCAATTCATGTATGGTTGTCAATTATAAATTTAATGTAACAAGTCATTGACTACATCTATCTTGTAATGTAATATTGTTTAAATATCTCTCTCTATATATTAAATTTGACTCTGCCACGAATAAAGACTTCAAGGGACTCAGCAGCCTTCTCTCTGTTTTAAAGGTGATAGCCGAGTAATCAGCTCTACCAAGTTAATTCCCCCACTATCTTGGCCATTGTGACGTAGCAAACGGGACCACGCCCATACAAGGCAAAACGGCCCGAAACACAAGCTACGTCAGTTATATTAAAGCAGAGACAGTTTGATCATTTCAGTTAGTGAAATAGTGCCTTGTGATATAATCACGGATGCCCCGTCCATCTTCGGGACCTGTATATTGCCCTTCAATGTTACTGTCGTCCTCTCCATCAACATCCAGCATGGGTTCACGAAGAATTATCGCCAGATTATGCAACACAGCACAAGCACCTGTGAAATATACTATGATTGTTTAAAGGGTCTACAGTATTGTTATCATTCGATTCTTATGTTATATGAAGGAGTGTTTCCCACTGGTGTTAGCACTTATATATCGGTTATCTTCAAATTTATTTCATAGTTACAGTGTATATTATTATCTTAGTAAACTAACCAATGATGGTGCAAACTCTCTCTGGGCTCATCCTGATTTCACCGTGCAGAACATGGAAACGCCGTTTGAGCCACCCAAATGCTCTTTCTATGGTTGACCTTGTTCTTTTATGGGAAGAGTTGAATCGCTCTTGCTCGGGGCTAGATGGCTTTAGATACGGAGTCATCAAATACGGACGACATGCGTATCCACTGTCACCGAGAACAACGCCGTCTTGTAGAGTCGTATGGTGTGTTTCCAGGTGTTGCCGCACGTTACTCATCTTGAACACGTGGCTGTCATGCATACTGCCTGGCCATCTCGCCACTAAGTTAGTAAATTTACCTACAGAACGAGACAAATGTGGTCAGTGTTAATATAAGTCAATATTACCATCGAACTTGGTTCATAATGCAGCCACTGCAATATAGCTGAAACATTGCTTATCGCTGCGTTAAACAACAAATGCTGAAATCATATCATACTATAAAGATTTGTCTGATAGCTATTTCGTTTAACAACGTGAATGGTGTCAGGGTCGTAAACATATTGTCCTTGTGACTTTGAAGGGAGGACGTGTATGCTCCATGCACAGGTTTAACAGTGACATTTGATTTGTTATTAAAAAATATTTAACACACCTTGGCTGTCACACACTGCTTGAACGTTGATCGAATGGTAGCCTTTCCTATTGACAAAGGCAGGTTCGCTGTCTGATGGTGCCTGTATCCGTACATGTGTCCCATCGATACATCCGATGACTCCAGGAAATCGAGATATATTGTAGAATTCCTTTCTAATGTCGCCTATATCCCTCTCGGACGGCCAGGTAATAAACTTGGGCACAAGAGACGCAATGGCAAGGGAAACTTTCCTCACAACTCGTGAGGCTGTTGATTTGTCTATCCCTATTGTGTCGCCAGTGATTTGCAGGAAACTTCCACTTGCAAAGAAACGTAGGGCTACCAGAACCTGATAAAATGATTATAAAGAGGCTAATGATAGGTTTGACAAATTTTCAAATATTTCCATAATACTTATATCCACTTTGTTATTTATTTGGCTGCGTTTTCACTATTATGTCTCACTAAGTAAAGTGTTAATTATTGATATAAGATGTGCATGCTTTAATTAATTAAAAGGTTCTTTTGGCCGGAATCGAACACGCAAAACTGTTCTCTTCAGTGTGCACGACACATTTAGTTTAAGTCATTAGAGTAACTCCCCCTTATGAAATTGATCATGGCTGACAACGCCAAGTTGAAAACGTATCTTTCTGGAGTGAAGTGAAAGGGATCCATGAATTTACATTACTTTCAATTGTGAAATATATTTACAAGGTTGGTATCATTAGGCTACACATAAGACTTTACCAACACAGACCAGTGAGCTGACCCACGTAGAAGTGCGTTTCATTCATTGTAAAGATTGCCGCTATAAATTTGGCGCTATAATAATATGTTTATTTCAAACTAGCTGAGTTTCTAGTGACGACATTTACCTGTAGTTCAACACTAAGTGCGTGCGATCTTGCAAGATCGCAGATATATCCGATGCTTGCCTTCCCAAAACGGTAGCGTGCCCTTACTTCTTCATCGCTCATGGATTCGAGGTGTTGAGTTCGTTTTCTGAAAACACGGTCTTTCCTTGTGCGTCCTAAGCGTTCAAACAATATGTTCGCGGCCATGTTTGTTTTTAATGACACGCTAATGATGCCCCAGAACCTTCATTAAGTTAATGACGCGCTAATGACACCACGACGTCATTAAAACGTTAGTACAACTGGATTTACTGATGCATTAGTTAATGAAGGTTTAATGACACGTTAATGCATCATTAAAGTTTGATACAACCGGGTCACGGTCACTTTGGTGTATAAATATATATTGTCATGCAACTCACTGTCGCAGGTGCAGTAGCATATCTATATAATTATGCAAGACAATATGTAAAGCGCCTCCTCCCAAATACTTGCATTAGTCCGTTCTATACCTGTTCGCCCGATCCAAAATATTTGCAATTTCTATGTTACTGTTGACAGACGACACATTAGTCGCCATCTTGTCTTGACTATGTTACTGTCTATATAACCAGCAAAGGCGCTAAACCAGTTTACCGTAACGTCAAGGTGAAGGTTGTTTTGCCCAATACCGGTCGTTCCAGTCTGTCGCAGGAACGAACGGGAACCAGTCTAGAGCGATGGTCTGTTGTTAAGACCATTCCCCTTACCACTATTTAAAATAAGGATTTAATTACAGTTGTATTTGTAATGGTATTCTTTTCTAATGTTTGATGCTTTCAATAACTAAAATTATAAACAAAGATTATTGAATCAGATTTTAGTGACATAAATGTGTAAGAATTGCCTTGATGTAAGTTCACTAAACATATATGTTTGGTTCATATCAAACACTTGTTTGAAGGAAAGTATTATCTCAAAAGTCGTGTCGTACAATGAAAATAGACACGAGAAACGTTATTGTGTTTTTGTTCAAGTGGCTTAGCAACAGCATCGGATTATCCTACAATAGTCTAATAAACTTCTATAGTAATCACCAAAGATTTTGGGCCTACGTTTAGAATACAGTGCCACAAACTTTTCAAACACGTGATCATACCCTATGACGTAATTTGTAGTATTTTGTTGCCAGTCACACCGGCGAAACAATGCCTTGTGACGTCAGGGGTCATCGAGTGTGCATAAGCTCCTCCTAGTGATCTATCATCTCTACACGAAATGTCATTGAATACGCCAAGCGCTGTGGAGAGTTTTGAATATTTGTTTACAGCAAACCTCACCGCTTCCTACCAGAAAGCCGTACACGCATGCGCAAAATAACTATGCTAAAAATCATACCATACATGTATGTATTCTAAAAATAGTGTAGGCGTAAACCACCATGCGAAGTGTGTAATGTTGAGATTTAATTAAAGTAAAATGTTTCGATTTTGTTTCCTTTATATTCACGGGGTACAATCGTTGTTATTTAATTGTTATTTGAATTCCATCTGTCCGTTACTCACTGTTGATAAGTTGTGGATCCCGATAAGCTGCGGATAAGAGTAAATAAAATGCAGAACATGTATTTTGTTAGTTTATGTTTATGTGCACTTAGGGATGTTACTTTCACAATATGGTGATATAGAGGCGAAGTAATTTCAAGAAACTGAAGGTGTATTGATACATGAGTAGATATATAATACATATTAAGCTTTACCATGAATTTTATGTTCTGATATGGTTTCCATATCTTATAATAACAAAACCTATAATTGAATACTATTCGGTCGAGTTTTGACTTGAATTAGATGGGATTGCAATGCTATCTCATCTGTGATGATATAAAGGCAGCTAGAAATGCGTTACAGATTTTGCAATTTTCCATTAACAGTATCCGTATCAAAAATATTTCTTGATTTTGTAATCATTTGAACTGTATAAGAATTTTCTGGATCCAGTTGTTCAAACGATCATTAGCTTAATTAGAAATTAATGCAAATTTTATTTTCTCTTTATCTTGAAACTGCAACAATTCATTCAATTTAAACTTTTCATAGCAAAAAGACATCACTCAATCTAGATGTTAAAGTCGCACGTTTCGTTTCGTTTCCGGAGCATAACTCAGAAACCGTTCAATATTTTTTCATCAAACTTTGCAGGTCTGTCAGGTACATGCTGAACTGGTGCCTTTTGCTATTTAGAAATTTTAGAAATTTGTATTTTTTACGTTTCCATGGCAACAAGATGGACTTAGGTCAATTTCCATGACAAGTTCCACCTCGGTTAAAAAAGATTAGGGTTTGTTATAGATTAGGCTAATAATCGTTTGGACAACTCAACCCTGATACATAGGAAAATGTACTTAATATAACGAATAAAGTATTAAAATAAATTTTCTAAATAACTTTCTGAATTATGCGTCTTATTACTGCAGCAGCCTTTCCCCATCCTCATATCACGGTTTAACAGTGATCTCAAAGGCAAGTAATGCCGGAATATTCTAGAAAAGTGTCCTGAAAACGGCAAAAGTTGGCCTAATTGTCAATACATGTACTTCAATATTTTGTTAACAATGCGTGTTCTAGCTTTGAAGAGACAGAATCCGTAGCATATGAAAAAAACAAAACTCTATGACACTAGATACAACCAGATATACCTATTAGTAGAACCCTATCTGGTTCTACCTGGTGAGATATCACTATGGCACTAGATACGACCAGATATACCACTCAGCAGACCCCTATCTGGTCCTACCTGGTGAGATATCACTATGACACTAGATACAACCAGATATACCTCTCAGCAGACAAGCGCTAGTTTACGAAAGCACTTTTATTTTTTATTTATTTTTTATTTCGTTTTTCTCGTAATTCAAGTGGCTAAAAGGGTTATAAATGGGAACTAATATACATATATTATTTTTTCGGTGCATTAATTTTCATTATTATGCACAAGAATGTAGTTTGTTAGGGATATTTAGTGGTGCTGAACACATCCAAATGTCGCCAGTGTTAGGGTAGGTAACCCCGAACTCTACCCTTAGCCCTTAGATCCCCTTTACGATAAATCACCCCTTTACGATCATTAGGGTTTGGAACCCGTTTAGTGGCTATTAGATTACCCTGAGTCTATCCTTAACCCTTGGATCCCCTTTACGATCAATCACCCCTTTACGATCATTAGGGTTAGGGGCTAGGTAATCGTTTAGCGGCTATTATAGATTATATTGACCTTTTTCACACTTCGGTACTTCCGGTTTGAAAGCGAGGCTTGGAGAGCATCGCTGCTTCTGCAGGTAGTGTCAACACACAGGAAGTAATGGCTCACTGTTCTGTCCCATTCTGTACGAGCGATCGGAGAAAAGCAGCTTCTTCGGAATTGTCTTTTTTCAATTTTCCTAAAGACAAGCATCTCCGGAGGAAATGGATCGCAGCCATACGTCGAGATGTGAGCAACTCCTTCCAGGTAGGTGTTGTATATAGTACCTTTCACCCATTGTAAGTGCATTCAGTTAAATTTTGCATCCCCTGTGTAATGAGTTGTCTGCACATGCAGATTATCATGATTAGTCAGATGCTAGCTAGTAATATTTGTGCATAATTTAGAGATATAGTTAGCAATGCAAGTTTGCGTAATATGTTGTGAATGAGTCAATGAACATTATGTGTATGTGTATGGCACATCTACCAATGTTGTAGTTATATACTATACTGAGGGTTTTGTATTGCCTATTGGCCACATGGCAATGTCAGTTATCCATCAGATTAAGTCTTTAATGATGTCAGGTACTGCAGTACCTTTGAAGGTGAACACATATGTTCATAACTAATGTATCACATTAGTAGTTCACAGCAGATGTAAATACTTGATGTTGTATTCTCATTAGCTTATATTATGTACCCAGTTTGGTCTGTTGTTCAAGAATTTTGGGTCATTTTTTTTATGGGGGGAGGGTGTTGTATATAGTACCTTTCACCCATTGTAAGTGCATTCAGTTAAATTTTGCATCCCCTGTGTAATATATTCCGTATTTTCAAGGGTGTAAGTAAATACATGTTGAGTGGCTCGTCCACGGTCTAAGGGAAATCACTCTGTCAGTCCTCTGGAAGTTGTGCCGCTTAGCGCACTGTCAAATTGAATGCGCTTACGTCATTTGCTGACGTCATTGGCTGACGTATCTTTGTCAGCCATGTTTTATCGAACATAAAACAAACGTGACCCAAATTCTTTGTTGTTTTCAGTTTTAAGTCATTCTGAGTGAATGTGACCTGGGTAACATTTGGCGAGCGTGCCAGGATCAGAAGATTCTACGTTACCCAGCACTGAACAACATGGCGGAATGGGAAATCAAGTCCATTATATATGGGTTGAGTCCAACCCGACTGGGTGAGATCCTCGATCGACTAGGAGTAACAGTCAAGTCTACCGAAGATAAAGGACAGTTGTTGACAACAATAGAGTCCTACATTACTGATTGCAAGACAGATGAGAACAAAGGGGCTACCAAGTTAGGCCTACTTCTGACATTCTGTAAGGAAGACAGCATGCCTGTAGACACTGATTCTGGAGTTCATCGTTCCCAAACTCAAGCTTCTTGGAGGAAAGAATTCAAGGTACATGGACAAATCAACGGAAAACTGGGAATCAGCTTTGTTAATCTGGTTAGGCAAATAGATTCTGGGAAACAACGGGGCTATTCTGACACAGAGATTATTGATGGAGTTATCAGAGCAATTAGCACTACAGATCCGTTCCGTGGGTACCTGGAAGGAAACGACAAGTTATCCATACCTGTACTTCGTAAACTGTTACGATCATACTTTCAAGAACGAGGAGCTACAGAGCTATACCAAGACCTAAGCAATGGGGTACAGTCACAGAAAGAAGAAGCCCTAGACTTTGTTCTGAGGATGCTTGATCTCGGCCAGAAGATTCTTTTCTCTTCACTTGAAGAAGGTGCTGATGACATATGATCCGACCTTGGTTCGTCAGGTCACACGAAGAAGTATACTGACTGGTCTCAGAGATCCTATATTGGCTCAGGAACTGAAGAATTCATTTGGTAGGGACCCAAGTGATGAAGAGATTGTTACTCTGGTTAGTAGTGCAGTTTCTTCTCTCAACGAGCGAAATCGCAAACCAAATCAGCAAGTGTGAGAGGAATTCAAGCAGAAAACAGAACTGAAAACCCAAGTACACAGGTGAAAGATGATGCAACTCAAAGCCTGATTAAGGAACTACAAGCTGAAGTGGCTGCATTAAAGATGAACAATACTGCTCAATCAAGAATGGCGCAAAGGAGACCCAAGAGATTATGCGACAGTTGCACAAGTACCGGCAGGAGCTATTGTGATCATTGTTTTGCCTGTGGTTCAAGTGAACATCTGCAGATTGGGTGCAAGAAGCGAAGGCAAAATCGTCGGTCGGAAAACGGGAGCGAGTCAGTGATGTAAGGGGCCCTCTGACTCGTGTGGAAAAGACCCTGAATGTTAGCTGTTGTCAGTGTGAAAAGAACCTTGAAGGATCTAGATATCAGAAATGTTCTAAATGCCATACTACTCCCTACTGCTCCTACAGCTGTCAAGCTGTCCACTGGGACCACCACAAGAGGGTATGCAGTGCCATAAGTGGACTTGAGAGCAAAGCTAACAAGATAGATATGGGTGACACAGCTTCACTAACACTAACTCAGAAGCAGGAACTGGTCAGGCTAGTTGGTAAACAGTGCAAGGTACTCTGCCTATTCAATGGTATAAAAACAGAGGTCTTATGGGACACTGGTGCGCAGGTATCGATAGTATCACAGTCATTTCTCGACCAAAACTTCAGAGACAGTGAAATCAGGGACTTTCATGAACTTCTGGGTGAAGAACTGACAGTCAAAGCCGCCAATGGGGAAAATATACCATTTCTGGGATGGACAAAAGTGCAATTTCAGTTGTTGAGGGGAGACCCTAACAAATCCCTGAACGTTCCAGTTTTAGTCACAAATCTTACAGATTTTGATTGTCCAATCATTGGTTCTAATGTGATAGAACAGTATCTTAGTGATACTGATGCAGATAGTGTTCATGTGATACAGTCTGGTCTGCCGACAGTAGCTAAATCTAAACTAAATGCTATTGTAAATCTATTGAAAGAGGAAAAATCTGATATATTGTTTGAAGTTTTCAGCAGCAAGCAGGGTATCACAGTTAGCGCAGGACATTGTATGCGAGTGAAATGTCAAGTCAAGTCCAACCTCAAAGAACCGATTACAGCTGTGTTTGAACCAAGTAATGATAACTCTTTGCATGAAGATTTAACAGTTTCAGGATCACTACTCCACATCAAGAGAGGCACTAAGGCCAGCATTCCAGTCACTCTGATGAACCATTCTAGTCGGGACATACAAGTTAAGAGTAAAACACTTCTTGGAACTATCCAACAAATACAGTCAGTGACACCACTGAAACCACCAGACAACCTTGAGACCCCACTGCAGGAAGCAACTGAACGTGCATCGGATGATCCTCCATCATCACAGATACCAGTTACAGATGGAGAACTCTGGCATCCGCCAGTGGATCTTGACAACACAGATCTATCTGCAGAAGAGAAGGGGCAGGTACGTCAAATGCTGTATGAGGAATCAAATGTATTTAGTCGAAGTGATGATGACATTGGCACTATTACTGAACTGCAAATGGACATTCGCCTAACTGATAGCACACCAGTACAGAAGAGTTACATGTCTATTCCTCAGCCACTTTATCAGGAAGTTAAGACTTACCTGGAGGATCTTTTGCGCAAGGGGTGGGTGACCCCATCGTCATCACCATATTCAAGCCCACTTGTGTGTGTACGGAAAAGGGACTCGTCGCTGAGACTATGTGTGGACTTCAGGGCTCTGAATCGTAAAAGTATCCCGGATAGATACCCGATAATTCGTGTTCAAGATGCATTGAACAGATTAGGTGGAAACAGATGGTTTACTCTCCTGGATCAAGGAAAAGCATATCACCAAGGATTCATCCGAGAGGAGTGTCGACCATACACAGCATTCACCAGTCCCTGGGGTTTATATGAATGGACACGCATACCGTTTGGACTCAGTGGGGCACCAGGTGCATTTCAGCGATTCATGGACCAGTGCCTTCATGGACTCAGAGATAAGATATGCATACCTTATCTAGATGACATAATCTGCTTCAGCAAGGATTTCTCTCACATAGAAGACACATAGAAGATGTTAGGGCAGTATTACATCGCCTACATGAGCATGGTGTGAAACTCAAAGCTAGGAAATGTAACCTCTTTCGGAAGCAGATACGATATTTAGGTCACATGGTATCTGAACAAGGAATAGGAATGGACCCAGAGGATAAAGCAGCAGTTCTGAAGCTGAAAACGAACAACCCATCAACTGTTGGTGATGTCCGTAAATTGCTTGGATTCATAGGCTACTACCGAAAGTACATTCCTAACTTTGCCAGACGAGCCCAGTGTTTATTTGAACTGTTACGGAAACCCGAAACAAAACCAGCAAAATCTGCAAAGAACAAGTACAAATCTAAGAAAGGATCTGGTCAAGTGTCATCCAACTACAAGATTGAATGGACTAAGAGACATCAAGATGCAATAAATGATCTCATTGATGAACTCTTGAGTGACAGAATCATGTGCTATCCTGAATGGGATAAAGAATACATACTCCAATACTCCATGTTGACGCTTCACAAGAAGGTTTGGGTGCTATCCTGTATCAACAAAGAGCAGATGGGCAGTTGGGTGTTATTGCTTATGGTTCAAGATCGCTATCCCCAGCAGAAAAAAATTATCATTCTCATTCTGGAAAGTTGGAGTTTTTAGCTTTAAAATGGGCAATAACTGAAAAGTTCAGGGACTATCTATACTATTCACCCAACTTTGTTGTCTATAGCGACAACAACCCTCTGACGTATGTATTAACAACAGCCAAGCTGGATGGAACCAGACATCGATGGGTAGCTGAGCTAGCAGACTATAACTTCTCTATAAAGTACAAGCCAGGGAAACAGAACAATGATGCTGATGGACTAAGTAGAATGCCATTAGACTTCAATGAATACATGTCCCAATGCACAGAAGAAGTAAACCCAGATGTTATAGGTACGTCTATTCAGGTAGTGAATGCTAGGGAAACAAATGAGGTAGCATGGATATCTGCAATCACAGACAGTTACAGCAACTTAACAGATCTTGACTCATCAGCTGATGATTCAAAACCCTTCCAGTGCTTTACAACAAGAGACATTCGACAAGCCCAGAGGAATGATGATGCTATTAGTCCAACTTTACAGCTACTGCGCCGCAAACGGAGTAGGAGAGTAGGACGGGATGTTGTCCATGACAAGGCCAACCCTGAATTGAACTGTTTACTCAGAGAACTCAATAAGCTCATCTTTGACAAGAATGGTATATTGTGTCGCAAAACTTCAATCTTTGGTCTTCAAGAGAGAATTCAAATGGTGTTGCCAAAAGTGTACAGGTCATTGGTGTTGAAAGAACTCCACAATGACATGGGTCATCAGGGTATCGAGAGAGTGACTGACCTAATCAGGGAGAGATTTTACTGGCCCTTCATGCAGCGTGACATAGAAAGATATGTGACTAAAGAGTGCAGTTGTTTAAAGCTCTGCACGCTAACGTCGAACCCATTCGACAGAGGTGTCCATCCCCGTGCATCTGACGTCGAACCCATTCGACAGGCGAATAGCATAACAACACCCCAAAATAAAACTCGCCATATCTATTTACCAAGAAGGCTTTGCGTAGCATTTAAATTACGTATGACATGCATAAATGCTCAGCTTGCTCAATATCAAAACGTTCAGTCATTTATTTACCTCAAAAAGAAAATATCGCGAGTTAAAAATGTTTCGGCCAAACTTCTCGGCACACAACTACCAGAAACGGCCATTGTTGACTTTTGGCACTTCACGTTGAGCGGCATGCAGTCCGATATTTTCTTTATAATTTCATCATTTTTCCTATAATAATAATTTTTTGTTTGCTGACGAAAGGAAAACACTAATGTTCCTTTATTTCTAAAAATTAGCAACTTTCGGTGTAACTAATTGTAAACAAAAACAATCTGAATCGTAACATCATCGATTGGATGGAACTTGTACGATCATGGCAACGGCGGTAAACAAACAACTCTACAAGCATAGTTATCCCGTTAGACTATTACAATCATTTTGTTACATCTAACTTAATTTTCTAGAATTATTGACACGTATGTATAAATCTTTGTAAAAAGAATTTCATTTTTAAAGAGTTTTTTAACTTGAACCCGAGTAATGCTAATCAAGATGCTAAAATGAACAGCATAAACGCAACACTTTCAAAAGTCTGGAAGCTTTAATATGTATTCACAAAAATACAAAGCTTGATCAAACAGCAGTGATCAATTTGCCAAAGTTGAGTAATTGAGTAAATAAACTCCTCTCAGCACACAATGCACATTGTATAACACCGCTTACCAATAATACTACTGGGAGGGTGGGTGGGAAATAAACAAGCGTGCTGTGTCGTTCTGCCTTACGTGACGCCATGCATTGCCAGCTGCGCCCTCTAATAACTAGGGGGAGATAACTCTGAGCCACTTGGAACAAAGAATGCAAATTTGCGGTCTAAGGGGAATAACTCTTAGGTACACCGTCAAAATATATTTTAAATAAAATAACACGCAAATGATTTCGTTTGATAAACTTTCCGACACATTGACAAGCCGACAAACGTCAGAGATACGTTTGGGCGTGGCCTAACTCGCGATTTGTTGAGTTGAACAAAGTCAACAAACACTGCGAAAAATGACAAATATTGGATGATACGCAAAATCTGAACTGATATACATTCTAGGTAAACCATTCAATAGCAAAATAATGCATTTTACGAGAAATAATCAAAATACTTGCAATTTTAGCTATCATTTCTGAAACCGGAAACACGTACCGCATGTGACACATGGAAGCAAAATATGCAAAAGTTGGTAAGCTATCATAAAGAAATTCCGAAATAGATTCAAATTCAAAAGAAAATACATAATTTACTATATTTCGTCAACTATTTACCATTTATTGATCTGGAGAGCAGTCTTCACTCCTATTTGTTTCATATTTCTTCGTGATTGTCGCCATCAATTGTGTAAGTCTAAATCCGAAACCGTAATGGATTTCACGCTCGATGATTTTAATTTTTTTAATATTTTCTAAAAACGAACGCAACAGAGAGCGATACAACGTATTGATATTCCATAATAATAACATAATATTGTTATTGGTCTAACATTATAAAAAGAACAATTTAAATATTAAAGATGTTGTTGAAAACTTTCTGAGAACCTCCCGTCCTCTGAACCGATAAGATTTTGGTACACAACGAGGTAGGCTAGTGTAAATATATATAGATTCTAGGCTCCTAAAAATATGTGATTTTGTACCCAAAACAAATTAAATTTTACCCAAAATACTTTGTGAATTTGTACCTAAGAAAATAAGACAATAGATCTATAATTATATTTATGTTTTCATGTAGATGAACAGAACACATGATAAAATATTTCATCAAGTTCCAAATATGATTATGACTGTGATCCTTGAAATTAATTGTTTAGTGTTGAGAGAAAATTGACATCTTGTCACTGAAGGAGAGGCCAGTTATGTTGGTTAAACCTAAGTTAGAATGATATGTTTTGATAGGAAAGTGATATTATGTTAAGTTTAAGACACCAAATTATTGTATATCTTTGAAATAATTCTAGGTAGATCTACAAAATCACATACCCATTTGGGTAACAAATTACTAGAAATTTTGGGTACAAAAGTCACCACTGTACATTTCAACTGATTTTCGTGAATCAATGGGATAAAAAATTTCGTCTGAATGATTCCTTTTCTCATTTTTTCAGACAAGAATTTGTTTTACATAACAAAACAGGCAGATCTAGACGGATCACGTTTAGTCCTAAAAATGTGAAAAATATGGACACCTCAGAAATGAGGGCTTATAAGTATAATTCTACTTAACTAGTCACATGGTTTGACTTAGATCTAGGTCTATCTAAGAAAAGTCCTTATGAAAATCCTTTTTTTAATTTTTTTATGACACTGACATTTCTGGCACTTAGACAAAGAGTATTCAAGGAAAGACAGATATGTTTTTTAATGAAAATATGACTTTCCTTTATAATTCTTTTTTCATGATGACAGGGGAACTTTTATACACACCAGCTGAGGAAGTTGTGATACTGTGATTGCATACAAAGAAAAAACAGGTTGGAAGCAGTACCTGTATGTATAAAATAGACCACATAAGGTGAACAAAAGTAATGGATTGGCTGACTGGAAAAAATACATCTGGCAAGGGTAAACATGTACACAGGCATGTTTCTTTTCATTCCAACCAGAAGACTGAGATAGCATTTTCTAAGAAACCTATGGCAAACTTACCAGCTCATGTGCCACCATGGTTCTTGTGATTAAACAAACAAAAATGTCATGTACTGTTACAAGTACTGTTACTGTAATTAAATTAAATTAATTCCTATTAAATTATATTTCAGAATTGTTTTATTTGGAAACAAACCACATAATGCACAAGATTAATGTATATGTAAAGGATCTGATTTATTCATTATTCATGGAATACTAAAATTAAAATGATGACATCAGAGAGTTACTTATTCACATAGTTGATTTTCAGAGTGCAAGATAATAATTGTTAAATAAATATGTTTAAACTAAAGATAATAATTGAAGTTTGATCAGTTACACTGTGCTGATGCAAAGACTAATATTTACTGTCTCCACACACCATCATTGTGGGACAAATAACTATTAAAATAACTTAAAATTTTAAAACCTGTAAACAGCTGTAAATAATTAAACAATTACAAATCTATCATCAATACGCAATCATGGTGGTCTTCATATTTTTGAATAAATTTAGAAATCCTTCGTGTAACTGTTCTAGAATCATGCTAGAATCTATGAATGTATTCCCGAAAGGAAAACTATTCTAAATGTAATGTGGAACTAACACCGAAAATATGTACGTAGCATTTTATTGCTTATATATACCCTATCATATTCAGCAACGCGGGGATGTTATTTTGAAACACGTTTTGTCAAGTCCATTTTCGCGCACCTGTTGTTGAGGGTGATCTTGCTGATCGACGATATCCATAGACGTATTACGTGGGATACACTTGTTGTAGTGAAACTTATCAGCGTGTACATCGCAGAAATATGAATCATGTCACATTTATATTCACAACATTGAATGGTGATTCTTAAATATCAACAGAAGTTCAAAAAAAAAGATACCGAGAAACTTGCATGTGGCATGTTGATTTATCGTCTACCGTTTCCGGGTCACGGGAGCATGCAAGGTCAAACGGATTAACTATAACGAATTATATCGTCAAAGTCACATTTTTATTTCATGTTAGTGGTGATTACTGATACTGTGTATCGACTTATATCTTTGCTCTATGTGATAGGCGAACTATTTCAAAATTTACTGTAATTGTTTTGTTTCGAAAGCTTATCAGCAGACTACCCCTGTCTGTGACATCACATCCGGTGACCTTTGCACTTATTGAAATAGTGCTGTCAGAATTCACGATCTTTATTTTCATTTCTCTCTCGTCATATTTATTGGAATATGACGAATAAAACATTCTTCGATTGAGAAGATCGTCAACTTTCGCCAAGTTATATTTATAAAGGCAATGTAAACTTTGTTGATATTAAAATAGCAATAAGTTATGCGGAGGTCGGGCGAAGCGCGCCATGTTTGATTTTAGGACGTCTGCTAGCATCATGACACGGGTTGTTTATTTTTGTATATCGTAAATATTCAACTAAAAAGCTTGAAATTAGGATTAGTGAATATTTATAAGTCATTAATTGTTTCCTGCAAATTTTATAACATGACACGTCAGATTAACCCGAATATTCGTATTTCTGCAACCGACATGATGACCTCGAAAATTAAGTTATTTTTCTGTTTAACGTTTAGATAATAAATTCACTGAAATGGTTCATAATTTACCATCGCGCTGATATATGCCGATTATAAAACCCGAATTTTTACTCAATTTAAATTAAGATATCGGAGATATGATTATTGAAATCAATTTGCACAAATGTTACGATATTAAAAGGTTCCTAGCATGAAATGCAAACCACCTTCAAGCCATTTCATCAACAAGGCCAAACTACTAAAAATAGAATTTTAGATACTTCCGCTCTATTTTGGGTTCGCGCATGCGCGAAAAACGAGGGACAAACATTGCCATTTTGTCCCTCTTCCGCTTGTTAGAATCGTAGCGCGGTTTCGGATATTTTAACACGATGCCAGCTAAACACTGTGCGTATGGGATCTGCCGAAGTGACAACCGCTATACGGATAGGCCTGACATGGCAGGGATCCATTTTATTTTGTTTCCTAAGTTTCACAAGCAGCCTGAGAAGTGTACAAGGTGGGTTCGCGCCTGTCGTCGAGAGGGCTTTACGACGGACAAGGTCAACAAGTACACCTACATATGTTCAAAGCACTTTATCGGCGGGAATGGTCCTTCACTTGAACATCCCGATCCTATCCCGGCAACATATACATTTGATCAGGTACGTGTTATTATTTGTGTATTTTTTTCATTATAACGTCAGACACATAGATCTAGATCTATGTCGATACCACCATAGGTAGACTAGGCCTAGAAGGTCAAATTAATGTTCGATGTTCAAAGTGTTTACTGG